GGGTAGGATGAGCCACTATAATAAAAATGACAATTCTACCTAAATTAGTTTATTTATTCAGTGCCATACCAATCAAACTCCCCCCAAAATATTTCATAGAGCTAGAAAAAAATAATAACAAAAGGTCAAGAATACTAAGGGAATTAATGAAAAAATGCAAAGGAATGTGGCCTAGCCATACCAAACCCAAAACTATATTTTAAAGTTGCAATCATCAAAATTATCTAGTTCTGGCTAAGAAATATAGTAATGGGTCAGTGGAATGGATTAGGAACACAAGACACTGTAGTTAGTGGCCATAGTAATCTAGTGTTTGATAAACCCAAAGACTCCAGCTTCTGGGTAAAGAATTCACTATTTGACAAAAAACTGCTGGGAAATCTGGAAAAAAGCATGGCAGAAACTAGGTATAGAACAACATTTTATATCATATACCAAAAAAAGTCAAAATGGGTACATGATTAAGAAATAAAGGGTAATATCATAAGCAAATCAGAAGAGCAAGGAATAGTTTACCTGACAGATCTACAGTGAAGGGAAGAATTTATGACCAAGCAAGTGATAGAGAGCATTACAAGATGTGAAATGGATAATTTTGATTATATTAAAGTTAAAAGGTTTTGTAAAAACAAAATCAATGCAACCAAGATTAGAAGGAAAGTAGAAGGCTGGGAAACAATTTTTAAAGCAACTATAAAAGGCCTCATTTCTCAGATATAATGAGAACTGAGTCAAACTTATAAGAATTCAAATGATTCCCTAATTTTTAAATGGTCAAAGGATATGAACAGGCAGTTTTCAGATGAAGAAATCAAAGCTATCTATAGTCATTTGAAAAAAAGTTCTAAATCTTATTGATTAGAGAAATACAAATGAAAATAATTCTGAAGTACCACGTCACACCTATCAGATTGTCTAATAAGACAGAAAAGGAAAATGATAAATGTTGAGGAAGATGTGGAAAAATTGGAACACACTAATGCATTGTTGGTGGAGTTGTGAACTGATCCAGACATTCTGGAGAATAATTAGGCACTATGCCCAAAGGGCTACAAAACTGTGCATACCCTTTGATCCAGCAATACCACTACTATAGCCATATCCCGAAGACATATTAGAAAAAATGTTAAAGGGAAAAGGGCCTACATGTATAAAAATATGTTTGTGGTGGCAAGGAATTGGAAACAGAGGGAATGTCCATCAATTGGGGAATGACTGAACAAGTTCAGAACACTCTTGTGCTACAAGAAATGACAAGCAGACTGATTTCAGAAAAACTTGGAAAGACTTACATGAACTGATAAAAAATGAAATGAGTAGAACCAGGAGAACGTTGTACACAATAATAGTAACATTGTGTCATGATCAACTCTGATTGACTTAGCTCTTCTCAGCAATACACTGTTCCAAGACAATTCCAAAGGACTCATGACAGAAAATTCTATCCACATCCCAAGAAAATACTAATGGAATCCAAATGTAGATCAAAGCATACTATTTTCACTTTATTTTTTATGTTTTTTTTGTTCTATTTCTTCTACCACAACATGACTAATATTGAAACATATTTTAAGTGATTGTACATATATAACCTATATCATATTGCTTACCATCTTAGGGAGGGGGAGGGAAAGGAGGAAGGGAGAAAATTTGGAACTTAAAATTTTATTAAAAATATATGTTTAAATTGTTCTTACCTGTAATTGGAAAAAATAAAATACCATTTATAGAAAGCAAGAAGATTTAACATAAGCATTCATGATTCTTTAACCAGCAGAACCATCACAAATCTTTACTAAAGAACACATTCTTGAAAAGGATGAGCACTTTCAGGCTGAAATAAAGTAATTGACATGGAACTTAATATTTCATTTCAATCTGAATAAGGAATATCAACTCCATGGATAAGACTAGTGTTACAAGGAAGGGTGGTACAAGGCACATCCTCTTTTGTTGGAGTATTTTTTTTTTCATTTTGTCCTGAGTAGTAAATGAATATCTATTGCAGATATAAAGAGAAACCATTATGTTATGAGAGAAGTCATTTAATGGACAAGATTTTATGTCACTCATACTTGTTTTCTTTCATTGAGTTCAACACAATATAATTGGCCTAGACTGTTCTAGTTTTTAGTATTTTGGTTCCAATTAAGACTTTTCTCTTTCTCTTAGCTGGCAAGAATGATTTCATTTTGTAGAACATCTACTCAATGGTATGTGTGATCTCTTGTTTTCTTGGAGGACCTTTACAATTTGTCCTGATTAATGAATAAATATCTATTGTGGATACAAGGGGAAATTGTGATAATGAGATGAGCCATTTAATGAGTAAGATTGTGTTTCATTAAGACATTTTCTTCCTTTAAATTCAATACATTACATTTGGCCTAGACTCTTCCAGTTTTGAATATTTCTGGTCTAGTTAAGACTTTTCTTTCTCCGTTAATAGGCAGGAAGGATTTCCTTTGTATAGAATGCTTCCTCAAGAAGAACTTTTCTTGGGAAAAGAAACACTAACAAAACTTTAAAAGACTTGATGCATGGGGATATGTGAAGTTAAATAAATTCCTTGAATCACAGCAGATTCTCTGCCTCTCTGTGGAATGGTTTCCATTTACATATCCATGTAGAGCCCTGGCCTAGCTTTAGAGGAAATTTGTTTACACTGGGCCCAATGGAATATTGGGGCAGGCAAATCTTACCTGTATGTCACAACACAACCTTTAAGGAGAATGCTGGAAAGCTTTCAAGAAGACCCCTATGTAGTCTATTGGAATAAAGCAATGGCTTCAGTGCCTTGGAACATTCCTTGACAAAGGGACTTTTGCTATTATTCTCATATTTTGGTACATATTCCTTGTGACTCAATTCAATAGACGGTGGTCATTACAAAGAAAGGAAGGAGATTTAACATTGGTATTCATGATACTTTACCCAATAGAACCATCACAAATCTGTTTTTATTGAGGAGCACATTCTTTTTTTTATTAATTTATTTTGAATTATCAACAATCACTTCCATAAGCCTTTGAGTTTTAAATTTTTCTCCACTTCCCTCTCCACCTCCCTCTCCTAGATGGCATGCAATCTGTTACAGGCTATACATATACATTCCTATTAAACATATTTTCACATTAGTGATGTTGTAAGTAAGAATTAGAACAAATAGGAGGAACCACCAGAAAGAGGAAACAAAACAAAACAGAAGAAAAAAATAGCACATAGTAAGCTTCGATCTGCATTCAAACACAGCTCTTTCTTCTTTGTGGATAGCATTTTTGAGGAGCACATTCTTGAAGAGGATAAGCATATTCAGTGTATGTATAAATTCCACCTCAGATTAGGAAGAGAGAAGGGAATTGAGAAGCTGCAGGGGTTGAGGGAGCGCCAAACCTGCAAACATAAAGCGATACATGGCAGCAAGGCAGAGGAAGAGTCTGACACGTCAGCACCCCAGTACTTTCCAATTTCCTCCTCCAAGAGGAAAAAAAAGCCCTCAAATTTAGCCCTCCCCCCAGCGAAGCTCCTCTTCCTACTACAGTAAATAAATAAAGTAATTGACATGGAACTCAATCATTCCATTACAATTGAAATAAGGACATCAACCCCACGGACAAAACTAATGCTACAAGGAAGAATGGTATTGGATCCCTCTGGGGTTTGTCTTTTTTTTTTTTTTTGAGGACGTTTTCAATTTATCCTGATTAATAAATGAATTTATATTGTGGGTAGATATTTTTTCACTACTTCAATGTCCCAAGTACCATATGGAATACCCACATAGTACATGCACAGCCTACATTTAGGTCACATAAAAAGGAAAACTCTCATTCACTCATGAGCTTACATCCTACTAGCTGATTCTATCTGACATATATAAAGACTGCTGATTTCAGCAGATTGTATCATGATATTATAGAAAGAATCCCTTTGACAATGAGAAGACTGGAGTTTTAGATTCAGTTGTTGAATCCTGGACAAGTCACTTTGTCTCCCTGGATCTTGGTTTCCTCTTTTGTAAAATTCAGGGAAGGGGACAGGTTGAACTGAGTATTCTCCTAGTGTCCTTCTAGTGTTTTAGTTTTTATGTGTATACTATATAAATATACTGTATATATTTGAAGATGACTAGCATAAACAAGGTGCTTAAGTGCTCTCAAAATGTTCTTGGTTAAAAAGCAGGATTCCCAAGGAGATGTTTTGGATAAATCTATATATTCAAGTGTTCAGGGTTGTTTTTTTAACTTGCTGCAAAGGCCTATTACTCCTTATGACAGCCAAGTAAACTCAACTATGTTCATTCACTTATATTCAAAGCAATATCCTATGGGAGCACACAGAAACAATGAAGCACGATCTACTTTAACTGTTCTTAACGTTTTAGTCTTGAAAGGATACATTTTCCTAGAGAAATTGTAAGGGATGCTGGAAGCCTCCTCCCTCTGTTTCGAATCTCCCCCCCTAAAAAAAAATTCCTTACTTTATATCACGTTAGTGCAAGAAGACAACTCTCAGCCTCTAAACTATCACCCTCCAAACATACACAAAGCTCATTTCGTCCTGTCTCTTCCACCCCAGTAAGAAGAGGTTCTTTAAACTTGTCTTCCCAGACTTTGTCTCGCTGTCTCAGTCCCTCACTAAACAGGGTTTTGGAAAGGTCTGTTCCCACCAGGACCAATTACAGACTTCCGAAGATGCCCACTGGCCTATGTTCCCCAGTGGTCTTACAAGCAACGACCCCCAGGGAAGGGCAGATCTTATGGCTATTCGCTCTTCAAGAGAAAATCTGTCCTGTGGCTTGGCTGCTAGGCTGGTGCCCCCATCTTTAAGAAAAGACAGCTGCTGTGTGGGCATCCGGACTGGGTGTGGTGTTTGCAGCAATAAGGGTGGGGATGAAGGGGGGAGGGGGAGGAGAAAGAAGGGAGGTGTGTGTTGCCAAGAGGTTGGGGGAGGAGAGCTGACGCTTCCTCTCTCTGGTGACGCTGCTTGAGCTGCTTTCTGCTTTTGCAGCTGCCACCCGCCACCCCCACGCCACCACCCCTCTTGGGTTAGCTAGTTTGCAAGGAGCCGCCAGACTCTTGGGGCCTCAGCACCAGAAGCTGCAGCAAACCCCAAGGAAGAAAAGGAACGGACTGGGAGTCTGCGGAGCTGGAAAGAGCCTGAGCCCAGTGGGGTGTGCGCCATGTCGGCAAATATGAGGGAGAGGTTCGACCAGTTCCTGCACCAGAAGAACTGCATGACCGACCTTCTGGCTAAGATCGAGGGCAAGACTGGGGTGAACAGATCCTACATAGCGCTTGGTGCGTCCTTCTCAGCGGAGAACTGTTCCTCCACCCTGCCCATATGCTTATAGCTAATTATTTAAAATACTAATTCAAAGACTGGCTCTGGCCAGCTCAGCACCTGCTGCTAATGTGTGAGCCATTGTGCAATTTGGGAATAAGGTACAAGAGGGAACAGGAGGAATGGGTCGAGCATAGGATGTATTTGGACCGGAGCCGGGCAGGGGGAGGGGAGTGCTGCTGCTGCTGCTGCTATCCAGGGGCTTGTTGGTGACTGCTGATGTTGAGAAATCGCCTCTAGTAGAGACCGACTAGAAGCCTTAGCTCCGGGGTTACTACAACCCAGCCCGCGCCCTTCTGGCCTCCTTAGTTAGGCTTGAGTTACGTGTGGTTCTGGGGATCTGAAAGAGGGTGAGTCACTCCCCACCAGGGCCTGGTGGAGCCCTGAAGCTGGGGAAAACCACTGCGAAGTGCTCCTCTGCTCTCAGATTTCCGCCTAGGGGAACGTGTGACTGAAGAAAAAAAACTGTAGTAGGAAGAGGAGCTTCGCTGGGGGGAGGGCTAAATTTGAGGGCTTTTTTTTCCTCTTGGAGGAGGAAATTGGAAAGTACTGGGGTGCTGACGTGTCAGACTCTTCCTCTGCCTTGCTGCCATGTATCGCTTTATGTTTGCAGGTTTGGCGCTCCCTCAACCCCTGCAGCTTCTCAATTCCCTTCTCTCTTCCTAATCTGAGGTGGGGGCTGGGGTTCACTGACTGATCAGTCTCCCCAGACTCCACCCCTTAAATCTCACTGAATTGAGGTTCTGAACCAATCACTTACTCTGTTTACTTTTCTTTCTCCTTTTATACCTTGAGGAAAATTCCTAGAACTCAAGATTTTGCTTCTTGTGAATGCTGGTGTGAGGAAAGCATGAGCAAAGAGTGACCCCCAGTAATTCTTATCCTTGACATCTTTTCGTTTTGTTTCTCTTCTTCAGGTATCATCAGCTTGGTGGCTTTGTACCTTGTGTTTGGCTATGGAGCCTCTCTCCTCTGCAACCTGATAGGATTTGGCTATCCAGCCTATATCTCGTAAGTGGCTTCACCCTCTTCTCTTCTAGCTCTTCCCCTTCTCTGCGGGGTGTGTGGGAGAGTATCCATCAATCTCTAGGGACCTGCACCCCTTCAATTGAATAGAGGCCTTCGAGAGGCCCGCTCTTGGACAGCAAAAGATCCCCCTCACTTTGTAGTACTAGCACTTTGCATTTATGCTCATCTTTATTATCTTACTTTTTCCTCACAACAATGATGGGCCTAAATTAAATTTTACAGGCAGAAAAACTAAAGCACCTTGTAAATCTGTGACTCATCTAACATTTTACACGGTGAAGCATGAATTCAAACTTAGGCCTTCTGATTCTAGTAGTGCTTCCCACTAGGTTTGAGTGACAAGTTATAGATTTCATTCTTACGAGTGGCTGGGTAGCAAAGCAGAGTAGCACTCTAACAGTTTTTAAACTTTTGCTAGGAAAGAGATCTGAGCCGGCATAGAAAGCTCCCGCAATTATTTTAGTGTATTTTGTCTCTCAGCCTCGGTTTTCTCCTCTGTGAAAGAAAGTGTTGGAATAGCCTCTGAACTCTCTTCCAATTCAAGATCTGTGATCCTGTGATATGAGTGTTTTGGTACAGATGGGAACTTTGCTACACTTGATATCCATATACAGTAAAATCACCTTCTATTAATTCAGAACTAAGAGGTACTGACTGGATTGAAGGTCTTATTTGAACTATGAAAGCAGTTTGCATATTAATAGTATAAGTTAGGAGAATGCTAAAATTAAAATATGGTGTTCAAAAGCTTTGAAAAACACTTTACTAGCAAACTATGCAGTTAGCTAATGTGCCAATTACAAATGATTCTTATTAAAATAGATCCTGAAATTACTTTTTGCTAATATTTTTTTAACCTAGGTTGTCTTCCTATGTATTAACATGGAATAAAACTATAACTTTCTAGAAAATGTTCTACATTTACATGACTTAACACTAATTCAGATGGTAATGACATTCTCTCTCTTTCAAGTTAATTGTACAATCTTTCCCAAAAGAACAAAAAAGGCTTCATCAATTTTGTTAATTGTATCTTCACAATATCTCATAAATGTGAAGAAGGATAGTAACTAAAGACACAGATAAGTTAAAGAACTTGCCCAGATTGTACATTGTGTCACTGTTAAAGCTGGAAATAGAATGAAGACATTTGGACTAGAGTTGCATTAGACCGCTGGGAGTCTACTAGCCAGCACTGAGACAAAAACAGCCTGTGCTTTGCTTTAAGTAGTTTCCAATTCAAACAGGAAGAGTAATTACATTAATAGTAATTGTGTTAATTTAGTAGAGGCTTCTGGATCTTTATAGACACCTAGGTCCCTGAATCAGAAAGTAAACTTGAGCTCTGGAAAACTGCTATGGGATATTGCATCATATATGGAATTTGTGATATTAGTTTTCTGGGATGCCAGCAGCCTTCTTCACCCCCTTCTGTGGTGCCTACTGTAATAAGAATCCATGGAGCTCTGGAGTATGTTTCAAAGGATTTTAAGCTATAAACCAGGGTAAGAAAATGGGTTTGGATTTCTAACCAATGGGAAGATGCTGGAATATTAGCCCCCAATAAAATGTACTGTGTTAACTGAAGTATGCAGATAGCTGTGATTCAGAATAGCCTAGGAAAGCTTTGAATATCTTTGTCAGTGATCTAGACCTCAAGTCCAGTAACATTTCTTCCTTGTAGTCATACTTTTGCTTGTTTATACTACTTTCTCCTTATCAAAAAGGCAATATGGAAATAGTACTGGTCTTGTGACCAGTGGTTCAAATGTCACCTCTGACTAGATATGTTGCCATTAGCAAATCACTTACCCTCTCTGAGACTCACTTTCCTTATTTGAAAAATGAGAATAATAAAACTTGTAGTACCATCATCATGGGATTGTTGTAAAGAGCAAATGTATGTAATGTACTTTGCCAACCTTAGAGTATTATAAAAGTATTAGTTATTATTATTGTTATTTCTCAATCATTTACCTCCTTTTCTTCATGTATCTACATGCTGAATTCCCCATAAATAGATGACTTCATTGAAATGACATCCCTTTGCAAAAAAATACATAGGTTAAAACTGAATAAATTTATAATCCATACTTAGGTTTTATACAAATTAGATTGGGGGGGAGGGGTATGACCTATGTTTGCACCAATGTAAATACTTAACCTTTTTAAATGGAAGAAAATTAAAGAAGGGAAATAATCCTGGTTTCTAAAAGTTCCTAAAGCTGGCTTTTAAAGCTCCAAATTTATTGCCTGACTTGGCCATTAATCCATATCCAGGATTCCTTTTTTTTTTTTAATGGAAGGCAGTTAGCATTTATATAGCATCTACTATTGATAGGCACTTTACAAATATTTCATTTGATCATCACAACAACCCAGAAAGGTAGGTACCATTATTTTAACAAATTTTTACAAATGAGGAAACTGAGGCAAACAGAGGTTAAGTGATTTTCCCAGAGTCACATAGCTAGTAAGTGTCTGGGGTCAAATTTGAACTAGGGTTTTCCTGACTTGAGGCCCAACACCCTATCTGCTGCAAGGACATAGCTGCCTCAAAAACTGTATGTATCACTAAAATAGAAAGAAGAACAAGAAGTATCCTTACTACTAATATCGACATGTTTATTGGAAGTGGTCAATACCAGGTTGCATGAAGAGTGGTCTATTTTGTTTAAATTTGCATTCACTTTTAAAAAATGATAATGTAAATTAACAAGTTATTTGGGACTTAACACTTTATTGAAATATTTTACGATCACGACGAAGCAAATCTAAAAATTACATTTGTGGATTTTAAAAATGTAAACAGAAAGGTGATGGCAAAAGCCACATTCTTTCCCCTTGGGAACTGCAGGACTATGAAGATAGGATAGTCTGCATATCTACAAGGTCCCAGCTGCATAAGCAAATTTCTCAGCCTGGCACAGATTGTCTGAAGCCTGTCTTGACTCAAGGACACACAGGGAGTCCAGTTTGGGATGCAAACAACAAATTATGTCAGCTGTGGGGGGGAACCCTTTATCCTTAAACCATTCAGGGCCTCCTGCATGCTCTGAATAAACAGACAAGTTCAGGGGGCCCCTTAACAGTACCCGAAACTTTACTATGCTTGTGTGTGTGTGTGGTTTTTTTTAATGAGCTTTGAATCACAGATTTCTGTTACTAATAGTGGGAACCGTTAAGGACTGTTAAAGGGCCCCTGAACTTGTCTTTTTCGGTTGCCATATTTTCCAGAAATATTGGACCCAGAGTATGCAGGACACCCTGAATGTGTCAAGGATGAAGGCCCCCTGACACAGCTGACATAATTTGTTGTTTGCATCCCAAACTGGACTCCCTGTATGTCCTTGGGAGTCAAGACAAGTGCCAGATAGTCTGCACTAGGCTTGTGCAACTGGGCCCTTATAAATAAGGAGACCACCAAATCTTCACAGTCTAGTAGCTCCTAAGGGAAAAGAACTTGGTTTTTGCTGTTGCCTTGCTCCTTTCCTTTGGGTGGGGTTTTGTCCTTTTCCCACCTTTGCTGCACCTCCTCCTTCCTTTGTCTTGCTGTCATAAATATGCAAACTTCTGTACTAATTACAAACTCTTTGGGTTCCACATGCATGTTCATTTCTCTTGTAATAAACCTAGCTTTCATGTAAGTTTTCTGAAGTTGTGGTTACCAATGACAACATATTGCTGAGATACTAGCTGCCTCCATGCTTACTTTTGTGATCGTTCTTACCAAGAAAACTGAGATAAATCAGTTGTATGGTTGATGTCACACTAATGTGGACAAGAGTAACAAGCAACCTTGTAAACAATGTTGACAATATTCTTAGTGTTTTCCTGAAATTCCAAAATCTATCTACATTTCTATGGTGTTCATTATTGAACAGAGTTCTACTTTTATTTGATCTTGATAGAATTAAAATATAAAGCAGTTGAAATAGGAGTGAATTATTGTATGCAATGAATAAGAGAATATGATGAGAATTTCCTTGGTGACAGGAGCTTTTTTCATTCCCTTTCTACATTTTTCTGTGAGCCTATTTATTTTAAATTATCTTTTTCATAATGAGTATAACAGTCATCAATAAATACAAATATTTCAATATGCAGAGAACAAGAAATAAGATTGTTTAAGAAACTGAACTTATGTTAGTTTTAAATATATATATATATATACATATATAATTTACTTTGTCAAGGGCCTTTTTCTGAATTTATTGAGATATTATGTGATTTTGGGCATTTTTGTTTTTAATATGATTAATTATGTTTCATTTCCCCGCCTAATATTGAACCAGCATTTCATCCTAGATGTAAATCCAACTTGATCATAATGAATGATTTTTTGGATGAATTACTATAGTTTGATAGGATTTTGTTTAAAATTTTAAAAACCTTTATTTACTAATGAGATTAGTTTATATTTTTCCTGTGTTTTATCTTTCCCTAGTTTAAGTATTAGGACTAATTTGTCTCATAAAATGAGTCTAATAGAAGGCTTTCTCAATTCTCAAATCTCAGTTCTCAAGAAAATTTCTCAATTTTTGAGAATAATTTGTATTATGTAGACACTAATTTTTTTAGATGTTTGATAGAATACTCCCGCAAATCCATTAGGATCAGGAAGTTTTTCTTTGGCACTTTCTTTACATCTAATTCTATTTCTTTGTTTTCTGTTTTGGTGGCATATGACTGAACCGTAGGTTCTGATAATTCTTTTTATTTCTTCTGGCTTTGTTGTGATTTCATTTTGTTAATTTGCTTTTTTGTTTATTTAATTTTCTGTCCTTTTTAAAAATCAGATTGGCTAAAAGTTCATTAATTTTATTAGTCTTTTACAAGAACCAGATTTTATTTTTATTTATCATTTCTTTAGTTTTCTGGTGTCTAGTTTATCTGTTTCTGTTATTTTCACTATCTCCTCTTCTGTGCTTATTTTAGGTTTCTTTATTTGTTGACTTTATAATTTTTAAAAATGATTATTA